GGAAACACAAACAATTCTTTGAAAAATCGACTCAACAAGCGCTTGGATTTGGATGGACGATGGGAGGTTGGGATTTCCAGCATTTCGTTACCCCACGAATCGATATAGATCGTTTTCACTCACGTGACCAAAACCCTGACAACTGTTGCTACGCCGCCATATTTGTGTACAGATATCGCATGCAAGTTTACTGCGTCCTTTGAAAGAAGATGGCTTTGTGCTTGATTGTCGGCTGTGGAAATAGAAGTAGAAGGGATAAAGGATTATATTTTACCAAAGTACCTTCGATAATTGAAAATCAAGGAAAAGAAGCCAGAGAATTGTCAGCAGAAAGAAGATCGCACTGGATTTCTGCTATTAGCAGAGACGATCTCACCGATACCATTTTGAAAAACGATCGCGTGTGTGAGAAACACTTTGTTTCTGGAAAGGCCGCAAAATCATGGGATAAAATTAACATTGTTTGGGTCCCAACTCTAAATTTAGGACGTAATAAGGAGACTGGCCATACGGATCGAGAACAAGCAGCAAAAAGAAGAGGGCGAGGGAACGCGAATTGGTGAAGAAGCCGGCGTTTGCCAAAAGGGTGAAAGTACTGAGTCTGAGAGGGAGAAGTTTTTCAAATTTAGCGAATCGGGGCAGCAAAGTTGAGATTTAAACTTCGAAGGTAGCGAAGCAGAAAGTCTAGAGAAGCCCACAGAGAAAGGCACACAAACTGACTCAAGATTGTTTGTTTACGTCGGCACGCAATCGGAAGAGCTTGCGTGCAAGCAAGTTTTCCATTTATTTTCGTCCACGCTTCTACGTAAAATAAAACGCTTACAATATGCGAGCATGATTCAGCCAGCCCGGCCTTACAACCTAGGCAATGAGCGGATAAAATTGTCCCCTCCTTTTCTGCTATAATCCAGATAGGGATCAAAGAGTCATTCATTCTCTGCGAATGTCTCACATTGGCTAACACAACAAATTTGTTTGCGATTATGGGGCCTTTTAAGCTGGATATAAATCCCGAAACCATCTGATTGTTGGCTTCCAGGCTTCGGAAACCCTTTAACTGTCGTTGCGTGTAGAAGCTCGTCTCCAAAACCAGATAGAAAAGGAGATCTGTAGATTCAACTGGAGGCAAGCAGTCTGGTTGAAAATTCTTACTCTGAGCAAGGACGGGATCCGATGACTTAGGCTTAGGAGGTGGTCTAGGTAGGCTGAAAACCCCAGTCTTACGCAGAGTAAGAACGGAGACATTCGTTCAACTTTCACTTCTATCTTTTCTTTTTCATACTTTTTTGTGTGAAAATACTCAAATGAAAACCGTACCATCTCAACCACAAAAATATTAGTCCTAAAATATTGGAATACAATGGGTTTGCCATCTAGGTTAGTTGAGACTTTATTCAGGTCTGATTTTCACTATTGGTTAAATAGTGCTCTTTACTGCGAGGATCGTGCACAAATACGTTTCCATAACCGCAGTTCGGATATATGAATTTCATATATTCGTCGTGTTAGACTTCATTCTGCTAAAAAAAAACTTTGACATTCCCAGCATATATACAAAACTCTAGTAATAGCTCTTCAATTTAATGCGACAGTGATCTCAAGGATAATGAACTTAGTCGTTACTGCTGAGTCGCAGTTCTTTCCACGAAGATAAGTCTACCATTGAATTGACAGAAAATTGAAAAAAAAAAAAAAAAGAGACGCCAGCTCCTTTACCTTTCAAAGTGAAATAAAGTTACGCGATCCGATAATCATGGGTTTTACGCATTTAAATTACGGTCTTATCGTTATTCTCAAAAAGCCTTTGTTTTCTGTTTTGTATTTATAGAACCAAAAATGCTCATTCCTTCACTGGATAAAAACCACCTGTCGAAACATTCTAACTTTGTTACGGTCTACCTCGTAAACTTGTTACCAGGGTAAACCACGTCATTTCATGGCCTAGGTCGGCCTACCAGCCTTTCGAAGGGGAGGAAGAAAGACTGTACGAGACAAAGCGGCGAAAATCAAGCCTGCCGCAAAAACCAATTCTTGCGGATAAACGATAGGATTTCAAGGAAATCAGGCCAATCTCAGTTCCGTTCGAAATTGGTATTCGAATAGTCCTTTCTCGAACTTGCACACTATTTCCTCTCAGCCTTCAATCCTCCACAGCAGATGACGCAGCTCTGTCTCCTTCCTCGACCTTGCTTTTTCAGTTGAAGGTAATGTGGGATACTAGCTATTTCACAGAATAACTTAGATCCGTCCTTGGACTTTAGTTCTCAGAGGGTGGCGGTTCAAAGTAGTCCCTTAAGTCGCTAACTACATCATTCCGCCCTATACTTTCCAAAGCAGCGCAAAGCTGACCAACTGTTAAATCATTCTTCTCTGCATAGATCCAATTTAACAACTCTTCAGTAGGACTCTTAGGCTGCTGTGGGTTAAAATCTGAGTACGTATCTCTGGGAACCTCCAGTGCGTTGGCCAGATGCCTCCAGTTCTTCAGTGCTCTGTTTTGTGTATTTAGATCAACACAGATGCTTCTCATTTCATCCGACTCTAAATCTATTGCATCCCAAAGACGCTTTTCAGGGTTCGCTTCAGTAAGAAAAAAAATTCCTTTACTAATTTTGAATTTTGTACCTCAGGGGTAAGCAGACATATCAAAAGTAACAGATAAGTTATGGTGAAGATATGCGAAGCTTTCCAACGCAAAGGCATTCATCAATATTTTGAAAATTTTGCGAAGACCCTATCATATCTTAAGACGCCAGGTGAAGATTTCTGAAGAGGTTCTCAAGATTTCCAAAGGCATCTTCAGAAGTTTCAGAGGAAACTGTTAATCCTCCATACACAAGTTCTCATATGTTGGAATAATTTCAATTTGAAAAAAACAGCTTGGGTTGATCTTAAAAACCATTTAAAATTTTTCTGCTAGACAAGAATAATTGATCAACAGGTGGGAGCTGGGGTGAAATAAGACTTCTCATTCCAAAGACTTGGAAGGTGTATCACCCCTGGGTTGAAAAGTTAAGTGACACTTTTTTCCATAAGGGCTATATTAGTTTCCACAACAACCAATGATTGCTTAGTGTCTGCAACCCTCTATCTGATTCAAGTTTAGTCACAAAAATATGAATATATACAAACCTACCGTCAAGAAAAGGTTCCAATTTTTTGACAACATCTCCTCGCTTTAGTTTCTTAACTTTCTCATGGAACTTCTGCACTGTAAGATCTTTTTGTTTGATATAAAGATATTTCATTAATGCTTCTGTTGGATTAGTTTCACCACATAATTCAATTTCTTTCAACTTTTCACCAGAAATTTGAAATTTCCTGCCCAGGTCAATCCAGCATGTATTAACTCGTGATCTCTCGTCCAGTTTTGTAGTTATCTTTTCAATCAGGTCAGCGTTGGCACTGGAAGCTGCAAATTCACTTATTGTTTGGATAGAATTTTCAGCATCTGATAAAAAAGAAATATCATTGTTGAATAAAATTGAAAGACTTCATGAGATGCAACAGTAAGTTTACATAAAAGGCACAATGTGTCCCTGAAAGTTCTCACATTTCTCTCACCCCCACCCCACCCCTTGAATGGACTTTTTCTGAGCCCTTTGCTCATGCGCTGCCATAAGTTTGATGAAAAATTTCCAAAATATCATATCACATTGACCTGAACCGCCCGTAACCGCCCGAACCTCGCGATCGCCTCGCGCGAGAACGCTTTCCCCCTACCTCCCCTACTAAGTGGAGTTTTGTCCCCAAATTTCCTACACAGTTTGGAGATCAATAAGCCAATCAGAATCCGTTGTGTGCGCATATATTTTTTCGACTTTAGGGGGTACTAGAGGGGCATTACTCCATGCGTCTTCTCTAAATAATCAAATTTGAAAATATGGCGTCCACGCGGCCGACCCTCCAAATTTTCAGGTCGGATTTTTCGTTCATTTGCGATCGAGTTAGACCTTGTGGAATTCAGAATGTAAAGTAACAATGCTATAGAATACTCTGCATGGAAAAGAATGGATATCCAGATCTTAAAAGTGACAGAACAAGCTCTTAAGTCAACGGCACTACGATTCTCTAAGGCGATGCGAATTATGGACGCAAAGTGAAAACTGAACTTTCGGACTTCAAGCAGGGCCTGGCGACAATTTGACGATTCGATGGCCCGGTAAAAATTATGTTAGAGTAACAATGTGTTCAAAAAGTATAGTTTAATATAAGATTTTGCCTCAAATCGAAGTTTTTTCAGAATTTTCAACATAACGCTGCGCAATTTCTCATTGGCCTTGAAAGCAAGTAAACAACGATCTAAGCATGATGAATTTTACCGGGTGGGCTTCCAGAAATTGGTACCTTTTTCGCTTATAACAGCAAATCAAAAACTGTTTTGAATAAATCTGTCGTCCCGAAATATTTCTTGCCCATTTTAGTCTTGCTAGATACCATGGAACTTGAGATCTCTTCACTCATGGACAAATTCGCACATTCCATTTTGAATTATAACATAACCAAAGTAAAGCATGCGCTCTGATTCGTCAATTTAGCGTCCCCCATTTGCCCATGGGTGTAGGCTGCTGACGTGAGCAAATGTAAAGACTATTTTTCCGCGCGCGCTTGTTTTTTCTGGTCACGTAAGATTTGTTAAATAAAAGGCAACTCTGATCCACATGCCCATTTGCACACATGCGAAAATATTTAGCGATTTTTATCTTTTATCTTGATTTTTGAGTTAAAACGTAATATGCACCTATCGCTTTTTTCGTCGGAAATAAGTTCTTTAATTAGTCTTCTTTCGCTGGAGCTTGTTTTTTGGAAAATATGATTTTTAAAAATTTACTGCGCATTGTGTAAACTTGCTTTCTTGGTTTCTCCAAAATTTTGACTTTTCACAG